GATGGATGAATGATGGATGGATGGATGGATGGATGGATGATGGATGGATGGATGGATGATGGATGGATGGATGGATGGATGGATGATGGATGGATGATGGATGACTCGTGTCCGGTGGCCCCTGCAGGTCCTCCAGAAGCTGGGTAAAGCTGATGAGACTCGGGACGCTGCCTTTGAGGAGCTGGTTGCTAACTTCACCAAGCAGATGGTGAGCTGCTCTTCATCTCGCTCCGCTGCTCCACCTTCATCCCGCCGCTCCTCTTCCTCACTGTCTGTGTTTGCCGTTTCAGAATGAAGGCGGCAAACTGCAGAAAGACCTGAAGAGCTACATGGCAGCGGTCAAAGGTCAGTCTGCTGCAGACAGGAAGCGGTCTGGAGATTCCTGAGCAGATCCAGCAGCCAGTCACAGGTTGCTTTGAATAATGGCGACTCTGTGTTCGTTCCAGCCATGCACGACGCGTCACGGCGGCTGCAGGACTGTCTGGCTGACATGTACGAACCTGACTGGTTTGGAAAGGAGGAGCTGGACGCACTGGTGGAGGTGAGACACCTTTAAAGGAGGTTAGAAAACGTCCCGCCCAGAGAGGAGCATGGAAGGCCATCTGGAGAAAACGTGTCTGACTTCCCTGCATGTTGATGTTTTCCCTTCTTGGCCGTCTGTGATTGTGAGCTGAGCCTCCGCTTTCTTCCTGCTGATGCTCTCTCTCCTCTAACTGCATGCCTTTCTGTCGCTTCGCTCTGAAGGAGATGATAGAGAAGGAGCTGGACAATAACCTGGAGGTAAAAACCGCTGTAATCTGTTCTGATCGGAAATTATTACGTTGATGCGGCGCCGTTCGTAAAGTTAAGCAAAAATTAGGAGCAACATTTATGGTTATTTAGTGAGAAAAATAAGGGGGCTATTTTTTTCCTAGTCATTTTTTATGTCATTGATTTATTTATAAAAATCTTACTTTGTTAAATAAATATTTACTTTGGAGCTAATTATTGATTTTGCAAATTGAATATTTAGTTTGTTAAATAGATATTTAGCTCCAAATTAAATATTTAGTTTAAAAACTAAATATTTAGTTTATTAAATAAATATTTACTTTGAAGCTACTGTAAATATTGAGTTTGCAAATTAATATTTAGTTTCTTAAATAAATATTTAGCTCCAAACTAAATATTTAATTTAAAAACTAAATATTTAGTTTATTAAATAAATATTTACTTTGGAGCTAAATATTTAGTTTCCGAATTAAATATTTAGTTTGTTAAATAGATATTTAGCTCCAAACTAAATATTTAGTTTATTAAATAAATATTTAGTTTATTAAATAAATATTTAGTTTATTAAATAAATATTTAGTTTGTTAAATATTTAGCCCCAAAGTAAATATTTATTTAATAAACTAAATATTTAGTTTTTAAAATAAATATTTAGTTTGGGGCTAAATATTTAACAAACTAAATATTTATTTAATAAACNTTTAATAAACTAAATATTTAGTTTTTAAAATAAATATTTAGTTTGGGGCTAAATATTTAACAAACTAAATATTTATTTAATAAACTAAATATTTAATTTAAAAACTAAATATTTAGTTTATTAAATACATTTTTACTTTGGAGCTAAATATTTAGTTTCCGAATTAAATATTTAGTTTGTTAAATAGATATTTAGCTCCAAACTAAACATTTAGTTTAAAAACTAAATATTTAGTTTATTAAATAAACATTTAGTTTGTTAAATAAATATTTAGCTCCAAACTAAATATTTAGTTTAAAAACTAAATATTTAGTTTGTTAAATAAATATTTAGTTTGTTAAATAAATATTTAGCTCCAAACTAAATATTTAGTTTAAATATTTATTTAATAAACTAAATATTTAGTTTTTAAACTAAATATTCAGTTTGGAGCTAAATATTTATTTAACAAACTAAATATTTAGTTTTTAGTTTGGAGCTAAATATTGAGTTTCTGAATTAAATATTTAGTTTGTTAAATAGATATTTAGCTCAAAACGAAATATTTAGTTTATTAAATAAATATTTACTTTGGAGCTAAATATTGAGTTTGCAAATTTATTTTTTTGTTTGTTGAATAAATATTTAGCTCCAAACTAAATACTTAGTTTCTTAAATAAATATTTAGCTCCAAACTAAATATTTCATTTGCAAACTAAATATTTAACTCCAAACTAAATATTTAACAACGTAAGACTTTGTTAAATAAAAAAACAACAGCGTATTTTTCCCTTAAAACACGCTAAATAACCAGAAATGTTGCCCCTAATTGTTGCCTGCTTAACTTTACAAACGGCGCCCCGTATAGAATGAGATGAAGTGACCACATAGACTGTGTCATTATCCCAGAGTTTTCACAGTGTTTAGCATGAGACAATAGTGCCTCAAACAGAAAACTAGTGTAAGGTTACAGCACAACACAGGAAACGACCTTCTACAGGCCCTGAATCAGAGTCCACACCTTTAGGAATAGAGGATTAGTGCAGAAACAGCCTGGCAGAGTGAAAACAGCTTTACATGAACAAAATGTTTGCCTTTTTCAGGACACGGACACGCTGTGGTTGAGCTACCATCAGAACCTGACAGACAAATCTCTGCTGTGCATGGACACATACCTGGCTCAGTTCCCGGAAATCAAGGTGAGTTCCAGAATCAGGTGTGGAAAAGGGACAATGACAACAAAGAGACGCAAAATAACAAAATGTAGACATTTAATGATTTAAAAGAGACACAAGAGGGCAGCAAAGGGACGTATAATGAACTCAGACAGTAGTAACCATTGAAAATTTCCCTAATTTCCTTTATGGGTACTTGGCCGGACCTTGATTGATCAGTGATTTGTCCTTGAATGGTCCTTGATTGATCAGTGATTTGTTCTTAGCTAGTCCTTGGCTGGTCCTTGATTGGTCAATGATTTTTCCTTGGCTGGTCCTTAATAGGTCCTTAATTGATCCTAGATTGATCATTGATTTGTACTTGATTGGTCCTTGATTGATCAGTGATTGGTCCTTGGCTGGTCCTTGATTGGTCCTTGATTGATCAGTGATTGGTCCTTGGCTGGTCCTTGATTGGTCCTTGATTGATCAGTGATTTGTCCTTAGCTGGTCCTTGCTTGGTCAATGATTTTTTCTTGGCCAGTCCTTGATGGGTCCTTGGCTGGTCCTTGATTGCTCCTCTGCTGGTCCTTGGCTGGTCCTTGATTGCTCCTCTGCTGGTCCTTGCTTGGTCAATGATTTTTCCTTGGCCGGTCCTTAATTGGTCCTTAATTGATCCTAGATTGATCATTGATTTGTCCTTAATTGATCCTTGATTAATCATTGATTTGTCCTTGGCTGGTCCTTGATTGGTCCTTGGCTGGGTCAATGATTTTTCCTTGGCCGGTCCTTAATTGGTCCTTAATTGATCCTAGATTGATCATGGATTTTTCCTTGATTTAACCTTGATTAGTCATTGATTGGTCCTTGGCTGGTCACTCTATAATTCCTTTTCAAACATCAATCTTCGTACTAAAATATTCTCTCAGTCATGATTTGTGGACATTAAGATCTCAAGAGAAGCGCCATCTCCTGGTCAGACCCAGTAATTCAGTGAAAGGGTGGAGTCAGAGTAGAAAAATATATAAGAGGGGGTCACTCCAGTGGCTGGAAGTTGGAGGGGATTTTGCTGGGAGTTGCAGGAATGTGAGCTGCCATTCTTCTGGCGTCTGACTGGGAACGGCCATTTTAAATGGCTGCTACTGTAGGAGACAGATTCTAGGACATCACAGCAGCAGATAATGACCTTTAGTTTTCTTAAAGACTCACTGCTGGTTTGGTTTTCTGTCCATCTGATGTCAACCAGTCCCGTATAGCCAAGCGAGAGAGGAAGCTGGTGGACTTCGACAGCGCCCGCCACCACTTTGCCTCTTTACAGAAAGGAAAGAAGAAGGATGAAGCCAAGATCGCCAAGGTAAGCAGCAGGAGCAGCGGCTGGTTCCTTTCAGCAGGTCGGGTTTGGATCTGAATGCAAACCAACTGGAAACGTCTGAATTTAAGGCGGGATGGAATTATTCTCAGCTCATGAACAACTGAGGCTGCATTAATTTAATCCCACCTTAAATCAGTCGGTTTCAAACGTATCTGATTAAATGTGTGAAAGCAATAAAGCAAAGGTTAACTTACTAATGTACGTGTTTGCATTTGTCTTGAATTGTTCTTGTTTGCCTCCTGTCCTGCTCCTTGTTTTCTTCGCTCCCGTCTCTGACCGTCCTGCATGGTGTGCCGTGTTAGCCAGCAGCCTTGTTGGAGATGGCCGCTCCCAGCTGGGCTCAGGGTTTGATTTCTGCCCACCAGGTGGCTCAGACTAACCTCTCCTACAACCAGGTGAAGCTCGGGCTCGTCTCTTCATCCTCACTTAGAAAAAGGAAACATGGTCTCCTCCTAAAGATGCTGATCCTAAATATAGAAACAATTTGGAGATCCAGTTAAATGATCAATATTGGTTTTGTTTATTACATTTATTTTCAGATTTCTTTCAATAAATACAAACCTTTACATCTTAGTGCTTAGGACCAGAATGTTCACATTTTGGACAAAGAAGACAGGTGGTTTGAAGGGGGAGTGAAGGAAGACATCTATGTTAAGAAAGAAAAAACAGCCTTAAAGGGGGGGGGGGGGGAACTCAAATTTCAGCTTACAAAAACCTACGATGCAGCAATAGAGTTATCATTGCATTGTTATCATTGTCTGACCGCCATTGTAAAAAACGACTGAGGATGGGACCAGCTAGAAGAGCGAGGGACCCTTTTTCCACCTGGATCCCCGCTCTTTTTCTCCCTCCTGTCTGACTTGCCTCTTGCGTTTTTCCACTTCCTCGCCGCCTCGGCCGTATCTAGACCCAAAGCTAGTTCCTGATTGGCCCTCTGGCATTGTGGCGTGGAATAACATGGCGCAAAGGATGCTTCAATATTGGGGAGAAATCAAAAATATCTGCAACAAGCTCACTGCGACACACTGCAAGGAGGATAACCAGCCCTTTACTAAGCAACTAGACAGCTAACTAAGCAACTAACCAGCCAACAGACTTACTAACTTATTTTCTGGATAATTAAAAACCACAAATATAAATGTATGGCTCAACTGACTTAACTAAAAGGAAAGCAACTAACCAACTAACTTACAAATTTACCTAATCAAATACTACTATAAATGTAGAAGTCAGGAGACTTGACCAAAGCGCTTTACACTACACTAAAGTCGTTGCCGGGGCTTGAACCGTCAATACTTCGATTTTAGGGCAAACTCCTACATCCGACGCCACTGTCGCCCTCATATATAAAATGCCAACAAGTTGGTGTTAACTGATAAGGAAGCAACTCTCAAACTAACCAACATGTTGACATCAAATTAACTCGCTAACTAACAAATTAACTAACACAAAATATACATAACAATCGGTTTGCCTGATTAAGTGACACGATAATAAACATTTGGGTTCACTGACAAGTTAGCAGCTAACCAGCTAACTTAAATGTTTACTAATCTACCAAACTAACTAACTAAGTAAGCAACTAGACAGCTAACTAACTGAAACTAACTAACTAATGTCTAAATATATATAAATACCACAAATTTAAATGTATGGCTGAACTAACAGGAAAGCAACTAACCAACTAACCTACAGGTTGACCTATCAAGTACACTAACTAACTAACTCACATATTGTCTGGATAATTAAATGCCACAAATATAAATGTATGGCTTAATTGGCTTAACCAAAAGGAAAGCAACTAACCAACTAACTTTCCGTTTGCCTGAGTAATTAGGTGACAAACTAATAAACATTTGGGTTTACGGACAGGTGAGCAGCTAACTAGCAAACTTAAATGTTGACTAATCTAACTAACCTACAGAAAAAACTAAATAACAATGAGGGGACTAGCTGAACACTTAATCTAATTAACTGAATAACGTGTGAGTTTAGGACTAGTTAATGGACTAACTAAACCACGTTAATGAATAATTCATTTCTGTGTTTCTGAGACTCAGTAGAAGCTGATCTTTTGGTTTCCCCCTGATCTTCTGGTCTCTGCCGTTTAAACCCGCTTTGAGCTGCGTGTCTCTCCTCAGACGGTTCTTTGGGCGTCTGCCTTTATTCACTGTCTGTCTGCGCAGGCGGAGGAGGACCTGGGTCGGGCTCAGAAGATCTTCGAGGAGCTGAATGTGGAGTTACAGGACGAGCTTCCAACTCTGTGGGACAGGTGAGATACGGACCGATCCAGATGTTCCCTGCAGCTGTTGGATCCAGCCGTAAACAAGGTGTTTGTTTGTGTTTCAGTCGTGTTGGCGTCTATGTTAGCACATTCCAGAGCCTGGCAGGTCATCAGGAGAGCTTCCACAAAGAAATGAGCAAAGTGAGTAAATAAAAAACCTCTGTTCAGTCTGTCGAACTAAAGATGATATCAACAGCTGGGTCTCCTCTGAGCAGCTCAGCCAGAACCTGAACGACATCATGACCAAACTGGAGGAACAACGGCAGATCAAGTAAGTTCAGCCTGAAGCTTTAAAGATTCCTGAAAACATCTGAAAATTAAAGTAATTAACATCAGCACGCCATCTGGTGCAGAAAAGATGCTACTGCAGCAACAGGGAAAGGAGACGGTGCAAAGAGGTAAACTGTGCTGCATGCATGGCTCTCCCTGCTGCATGTCTTTCTGTGCACCATGACAGTCCAGCCTGCAGATCCTCAATCTGATGGATTTTAGTTCATAGATAAACCGAATGATCAAGGTTTCCAGTTTGTTCCTGGATAAATTACTGATAAAGCTCCAGGTGACCTTGGCTGGCTCTCAAGTTGCCCTATGACTGATTTTCAAACAATTAACTTGAAGAGCATGAAGAAAGGTTCGATTTTTAAGCATAGTGGCGCCCTCTTGTGGATGAACACTGATGGTTTTTACCCTTAAATCCTCCTCATCCTCAATGATTAGTTTTTTTTATGGTATCTTTTTCTCTTTTCCCAGTGAGGAAGCCAACCACAGTGAATCGACTAGCCCTGCACCAAAGGTAAACAGAATAAAAGCAATAAAAAACAGAATTTATGATGGAAAACTTTACTGGTTTTAATTCTCCGAGGTTTTAGACGACAGTAAATTGATTTTAATTTGTCTAACCGACATGCGTGTTCATTACTGCGTTTGCATGTGTGCACGTCGGATCGCTGCATACCTAACCCGCCTCATGGTGCAGAAGCTCGGACCTCCGCCCAACCGGCCTCCACCCAGACTTACCCCATCTCCAGACCCCAAACAGCAAATCGCTGGCATGTTTGAGGAAGAGGCTTTAGAACCAGATGCTAACACAAACTCCTCCAGCACGACACAAGAGGTCAGACAGACGCTAAGCTATCCTAGCTTAGAACAGATATAGTTTCCTTTTCACTGTTAAGTGAAACCCTGATACCTGCTCTGATGTTCCTAATTTGTCTGTCATTGATCTCGTATTTGTAATAGTGGCTAAAGCTTTGAAACTTTTTTAATATTTGACTTTTTTTTGAGAACACAGTTGTTAAACAGAAGAGACCCAACGCTTCAACCCTTTTAATCTCGTAGTTTAATCTCGTATTTAAAAGTTTATTTCAATACAGTTCAGTTTATTTCTATAGCTCCAATTCACATCATGTCATCTCAGGTCACTTTCCAGTTCACCAGATCATCCAGTCAGATTGATTCAA